TGAACAAGTGTGCTTCCCTGGAATAACATTACAGTTCATGTTACATTATAAAGACTTTTTCATGATAAAACAATTAAGAAGTTTATTTGCACTTTTTTAAACTTTTCCTAAAGAGATATTTTTGATTGTGTCTGATACACTCAGTGCATTATTTCCTTTGGGTATTAATAAAGTTCTTCTTATTCTTTTTCAGCAGCTCCAGTAAAATAACCTCATTAATGTTGTCTGTCTCTTTGTGGTTTTAGCTCACAGGCTGACAGTACATAAATGGCTCTTAAATCGCCCCTTTTGGCTCAGATGGGGTTTTAACTGCCCAGTCTAAAACTTTAGTCCTGGTCTCAGTCTGAGGAGGTTTAGTGTGAGGATTAGCTGATGATCTAAACTCATGAACACCTGAACATCCTTCAGGTAACAATTTGATCTGAAAGTGTTGAGTCTGAGTGACTGATTCACTTTAATCAGAATAATAATCAGCAGAAACTAGATGGTGGTTCAACTTTTAAAACCAGACTATGATCATGAACAGTTTTAACCCACAACCAGATCGCAAGATCAACACGTCCAACGTGAAATCATCTGCAAAGTCCTAACGCCATAATTCTCTGCTTCTTCTGCGAACCCTTCCACATAAACATCCTCAGGAGAACTTGTAGCTAATAGATTTTGTCTGACACAGTGCTATTTTCAGTATGGACTCAGCCCACCAGAGGGAACTATAAGGAGGACTAAGCTAATCAAATGGAGATTCAAGGTGGACTGGGCCCACCAGAGAGAGCTTAAGGTAAACTGAGTCCACCAAGAGAACTCAAAGGTAGACTGAGCTCATCTGAGGGAACTTTAAGGTGGACTAGGGATATCTAATGGAGCTTAAGGTAAACTGAGTCCACCAAAGAGAACTTAAAGGTGGACTGAGCTCATCTGAGGGACCTTTAAGGTGGACTGGGCTTATCTGAGGGAGCTTTAAGGTGGACTAAGCCCACCAAAGTAACTTTAAGGTGGGCTGGGCCCACCTAAAGAAGCTATAAGGTGGAATCACGTTTTCTTAGGGAACTTTAAGGTGGACTCACCTTATCTGAGGGAGCTTTAAGGTGAACTCAGCTTTTCTGATGAAGCTTTTAGGTAGACTAAGCCCACCAAAGTAACTTTAGAATAGAATCGAATAGAATAGAATATTCCTTTATTGATCCCCCAATGGGGGAAATTTTTTTGTCACAGCAGCATCACAGACAAAGAGTGCAAAAATGCAGTTATAAAAATAAAGAACCTAATATTAAGAACTTAAATAAATGTAATAATTAAGAAAAATTTTAGAAAAAGGAAAAAGGGAGAAGAATCTACAATATACACAATTTAAATGCCAGAAAAAAGTGGTGGTGTGAGTCCAGTTATTATTGCAGTTCGTTGTAAAGTCTTATTGCTGTAAAGTTTAAGGTGGACTGGGCCCACCTAAGAGAGCTTTAAGGTGGACTCAGCTTATCTGAGGGGAACTTAAGGTGGACTGAGGCCCAGACTACACGTATATAGATATTTATTTATCAGGATATGTTTGTACTCCCGTCTAAATAAATGTATCTGTCCACACGTGTTAGTTCTCAAAAATATCTGCGTCCACACGTAGCCTTTAAACTCAATCCTATCTGGTGCCGCTTAAAAAAAAATTCAGGAACAAAGCTAACTGATTGGCCGATGAATCGTAACAGCGTGATGCGTCATGCATTGTTTGCGGAAGCTACGCTAGTGCGTTGGGTCCATGTGACGGACCATGTGACCAATAAAAGTATTGGCCGCAGCAGACGCATCTGTGAGCTGGCTGACTGGTGGATGTAATTGTATAAAACAAGGTTCACTTGCAAGGCTGAAATTAGCCCCAAAAGGGCAAAACAAACGTAAAGAATACCCTGTCTGTCCGCCATCGTTGTTGTTGTTGTTTTTCTTTTTAATTCGCATGCGCGAGCTGCGGTTTGACGTCATCGATCCGTAAAAGTCCAACCACACGAATCCACTACGGATACGGGATACAGATATTTTTTCATTTCTCCACTTGTTTTTCCAGATTCAGATTTATCTGGTTTGAGTGTTCCAAACTCCCGTTTTGGTGTGGTAGGGAGGCCTAATCGGACATAAATATGTGCGGTTTGAAATATATCCGCATTCGTGTAGTTCGGGCCTAAGCCAACCAAAGAAATTTTTAGGTGGACTGGGCCCACCTAAGGGAGCTTTAAGGTGGAATTGGGTTATCTGAGGGAGATTTAAGGTGGACTAAGCCCACCCAAGGGAGCTTTAAGGTGCACTGGGCTTATCCAATGGAGCTTTAAAGTGGACAGTGCTAATCTGAGGGAACTTTTAGGTCTTGTCTTCTGTCTTCTGTGTTTGTTGTTATGTTCAGGTTCCTCCAGATGGACATCATCATTAAAAAACTTCAAATACTTAAAAATAAACTTCAAAATAAAGGCATCATGTGAAATCAAGAGCGTTAAGGTCTGAATTTGTTTCATATCTTTTATGCTTGACCTCGTTTGTTTTCATAGTTGCCAGTTTTGATGTGCGGTATTGATTCCTCTCTGTCACGCCATGTGTCTATATTGATTTTCCCTCAGGAAACTTACAAGGTTGTTTCATCCTTACCTCAAATTAAAAGTTCCCTTTTAATTGATCTTGACCCAAAGTTCACTCTTTGAACTTTTAAAGAATAGCAGCTCTATTAGTAAAAAAATCCATCCTTCCTGAGCCCTGTCTGTACTCCAGCTGTCACTGATAATCCTTCTTCCTTTGTCTCACTGCTCTCAGGTCCAGATGCCTATAAACCCACTTCAGAAAAGACCAGAGGAATGTAACAAACCTGTCTGAACCCTGACTCCTGTCATGGGGGAGTGACTAAATCTTAAAAAGGAAAACATCTACACAACAACAACAAAAAACAATTTAAGGTGTTGAGAACTGCGGCAGTCTCTCACAGAGTGGTGAACCTCTTCCATCTTTCCTTCTCAGAGACTCAGCCTCTCTGAATGTTTGTCTTAAACCCAGTCATGTGACTAACCGGTTGGAACATTTACCTCATTAGAGATGTTCCTCCAGCTGTTTTTATTTAGCTTTACAACTTTTTTACCTGTTTGGTTGTTTTTCTCTTAGAACTTTTTACTTTTTTGTTTTAAGTCCTTTCACTGAACATGTTGCTGTCATCAGATTAAATTTCGTTCATATTTTTCATGAAATAATAATATTTCTCAGTTTTAACACTTTGACCAAAATAGGCTTTAAATGATTTACAAACAAATGAATCTGTTAATATTATTATTTTTTTTACATTTTATGGTGTCCCATAATTGATTTAGGGTTTACAGCAGGGGTGATAAACCAAGCTTTTTGGAATTGTTTACTGTGGTTCGCATAAAAATGTCATAGTCTGGAGCAGGTCTAAATATAGACTCTGAGAAGATAAAAGTTTGGGGTTTAGCTGCTATAAAACTCTTCAGAGGATTAAATGCTGCACCATCTAAGATTCACTGAGTGTCTAATAATAAGCAGTCTCTCTCTGTGTGTATGACACAGCTGTTTAATTTGAATGTTTGCTCATTTCTTGGGAACGAAGCCCATGAGGAGTTGATTCACATGATTTATTGTAACCAGTGGTGCTTGTTTTCATGTTTTGAGATCATTGTGGACTAAGATGTCTGGCGCATCCTCTCCCACTTAAATAAGCCGATAATTTGAGTTCCTCTCTTATCTAGAGCTCACATAAAAACTACATAGAATTGGTTAAATTTTCCTTTTAGGAATTTACAGAAACTTCTAGGCCGAACCAGCAAGTGGTTTAAAAAAAAAAAAAAAAAAATCAGTATCTGGCAAATAGCAGGGGCTGTCATCACACTAATGTTTCAGCCAGCCTAAAACATGTGCATAAAGTTCAGGAGAGGTCATTGGCTGGTGTTTGTCCACTCCCAGGACATTTGCTTCAGCTGAACTGAAAATATGTAGCAACACATCTCCGGTTTGGAAAACGAAACAAGAACAGAAAGAAGATGATGAATATCAGCTTTATTAAGCAGATCCACAGTTTACCAAAGACACTGTGATGTTCATGTGAACCTGATTTAAAAGCTTGTAAGGAGCACAAAGCAAAGCCTGCGGATACAAACATATTAATTTTACCATCTGAGAATAATAGATCTCATGTTAGAGTATTGATTTAATAAAAATTGCGATCAATTCCACAGATTTATAGAAACACACCTTGAGCAGACTCTGCAGGATACTCAGACACACCAAGTCTGTGCTGAATACCTTTGCAGATACCTGCAATCTCCTGTGTAAATGTGCACAATGTTTTTCATGGATAGGATGACAGGAAGAATAATCCCATTTCCTCTAAACTGCATCCACGTAGTTATGATTTAGGTCCTCCCACCAGGAGATGCATGGAGAATTTCAAAGGGAGTGAAGGAAGGAGGAAATATCCTTTCTTCAGAGGCATCACCTGGAGTGAGATCCATCTGTGTGGACAGCATCAGCAGATCCCCATTATCAGCTCTCAATCAGCCTAACAGGTGTTTGTGTTTGCATATACTTGGGCTGTAATCCTTTAGATAAAACACACACAGGGTGATATTTTCTCAATTTTCTTTCACCTGTTGACCAACAGCTGCTCAAGAATAACAACCTGCACATGAACAACCTGCACATGAACAACCTGCACAAGGACAACCTGAACATGAAGAACAACCTGCATACAAAGAACAACCTGAGCATTAAGAACCTGCGCATAAAGGACAACCTGTTTATGTAGAACAACCGCTCATGAGAACAACCTGCACAAAAAGAACAACCTGCACATAAATAACATCCTGAACACGAAGAACAACCTGCTTATGTAAAACAACCTACACATGAAGAACAACCTGTTCATGAAGAACAACCTGAACATAAAAAACCTGATGAAGAACAACCTGTACAAGAACAGCCAGCACATGAAGAACAACCTGTTTATGTGAAACAACCTTCACATGAACAACCTGATTATGAAGAACAATCTGTACATAAAGGCCAACCTGTACATAAAGAACAACCAGTACAAAAACAACCAGCACCAGAAGACCAATCTAGTCATGAAGAACAGCCTGCACAAAAAGAACAACCTGCACACAATAAACCTGATTACAGAGAACAGCCTGCAGAAGAACAACCAGCTCCGGAAGAACAACCTGAACATGAGGAACATCCTGCACAAAAAGAACCTGCATCAGAAAAACAGCCTGCTCATTATAAAAACAGCCTGCACCAGAAGAACAACCTACACAAATAGGACAACCTTCATCAAAAAAATAACATGAACCTGGAAACCTGCACAAGAAGAACCTGCACATAAAGAACAACCTGCGATAGAAAAACCTTCACCAGAAGAACCTGCACAAGGAAACAAACTGCACAAGAAGTACAACCTGCTCATGAAGAAAACCTTGCACAAGAAGAACAACCAGAAGAAGCTGCACCAGATGGACTTGCACTAGAAGAACAACCTGCATCTGAAGAACGTGTTTATGAAGAACAGCCTCCACATGAACAACCTGATTATGGAGAACAACCTGTACATGAAGTACAACCTATCCAAGAAGAACAACCTGCACATAAGGAAAGACCTGAGCATAAAGAACCTGTAAATTATGAACAACCTGTACATTAAGAACAACCTGTTTATAAGAACAACCTGTACAAGAACAACCTGCACAAAAGGAAGCTGCACCAGAAAAAAAAATCTGCTCATGAAAAACAATCTGCACAAGAAGAACAACCTGCAACGGAAATCAACATGAACCAGAAGAACTTGCACTAGAGGAACAACCTGCACCAGAAGAATCTACACCAGAAGAACCTCCCTTCAAAGAACCTTTACATTATGAACAATATGTACAAGTGGAACAAACTGCACAAGAATTACAATATGCTCCAGAACAACAGAACAGCCTGCACTTGTAGTACAACCTGTACAAGAACACACTGCAACAGAAGAACAACCTGCACAGGTAGAACAACGGGCACTAGATGAACCTGCACCAGAAGGACTTGCGCTTGAAGAACAACCTGCACAAGATGAACAACCTGTTTATGTAGAACAACCTGCGCATTAACATCCTTATTATGAAGAACAACCTGTACATAAAGTACAACCTGTCCAAGAAGGACAACCTACACAAAAAGAACAGCCTGAGCATAAAGAACCTGCACTGGAAAAGCTACCTGCTAATGAAGAACAACCTGCACAAAAGGAACCTGCACCAGAAAAAAAACTGCTCATGAAAAACAATCTGCACAAGAAGACATTACACAAGAAGGACAACCTGCATCCAAAACAACACAAGAAGAAGGACCTGCACACAAAGAACAACCTGCAATAGAAAACCTGCACCAGCAGAACCTGCACAAGGAAACAACCTGCACAAGAAGTATAACCTGCTCATGAAGTACAAGCTGCTCAAGAAGAACAACCTACATAAGAAGAACAATCTGCACCAGAAGAACCTGCACCTGAAGGACTTGCAATAGAAGAACAACCTGCACTATAAGAACATCCAGCACAATAGGAACAACCTGTACAAGAATAACAACCTGTACAGCAAGAACAACCTGCACATGTTGAACAGCCTGTACAAGATGAACCACCTGCACAAGAGGATCAACCTGCAAAAGAAGAACCTGCACAAGAAAAACAACCTGCACAAGAACACTCACACAACAAAAACCTGCACAAAAGGATCAACCTGTACAAGGAGAACAACCTGTACAAGAAGAACAACCTGCACCCAGAGAACATCCTGTACAAGAGGAACAACCTGCCCAAAAGGGTCAACCTGCACAAGAACAACCTGCACAAGAAGAACAACCTGCACAAGAACACTCACACAACAAAAACCCGCGCAAGAGGATCAACCTGTACAAGAAGAACAACCTGTACAAGAACTACAACCTGCTCATGAAGAACAACCTACATAAGAAGAACAATCTGCACCTGAAGTACCTGCACCTGAAGGACTTATACTAGAAGAACAACCTGCACTATAAGAACATCCAGCACAACAGGAACAACCTGTACAAGAAGAACACCCTGCACCAGAAGAACAACCTGCACAAGATGAACACCCTTTAAGCTAAGTTTTCAATGGTGAGCTGAACATCTCCAGCTTTAATTGAGGTCAAATTGTTTATAATCCTCCAGATGAGATGAGCTTCTTTTGATCCTTTAGGACCAGCCAATGTATGTTTGCGATCCACACAGACAGTCCTCCTAGATCACTGAATCTGTGGTCACACATTATTCACATTGTTGGAAATTTTTTCCAAATTGAAATGGATTAAGGTGTCATATTTTGTTTTTACTCATAGTAGACTACAACACACACTGTCACCGGGACGTCCAGGAACTACAGGCTGTTGTTAAAGGCTGGTTAAAAAAAAGGACCTCGCCACCCCATCTGCAACTCTGAACTCACCCACAGTACTGACTCCTATGACATGTTCGCTGACTATGATATTACTGTGCTGTCTAACTGTCCTGAGCTGAACCCGAGAGGGAATCTGTGGGATGTTTGTCAGAAGAAGATGAGTAACAGCCGATCCAGAAATACAGACCAGCTGAAAGAGATTTCAAAGTAACCTGGACTTCAGGAACACCTCAGCAGAGCTCCAGGTGGATCACCTCCAGACCATGTCTCAGTTATTCATGATGAAGACTCTGGTGGATTATCGCCATGTCCCAGTTATTCAGCATGGGGACACTGAGTACTCCGATCCTGACTAGGGCAGGTATGAATTCTTGGTTTCAGATCTGTCAAAATTCAAAACTATTTATTATTTTAACAGAAGACTTTTTTAATGATGTGGAACATTTCAGTCCAAACTGAAACATTCATTCATCTTCTACTGTTTTCTGGAGTCAGGTCACAGGGGCAGCGTAGGCAAGGAGGAGGAGCAGCAGCTCTACTCCGAGCCCCTACCCGATGACCTAGCTTCTTACCCTATCACTAAGGAAGAGCCTGAGGAGGAAACTCTTTTATCTGTGATCTTGTTCTTTGGGTCACTGACCTCAGCTTGTGACAATAGGTGAGGGTAGGAACGTAGATCTTCCGGTAAATTAAGAGCTTTGCCGCTCAGCTTAGCTCCATCTTCCTCGTGACAGACCTATATGTTGTCTACATCACTTCTGGCACTGCACCGATCCACCTGTCGATCTCCATTCTCTCCTCACTCCTGAACAAGACCTCAAGATACTTGAACTCCTCCACCTGGGGCAGGATCTCATCCCTGACTCCACTTTTTTGGCTGAGAACCATGGACTCAGATTTGGAGGTGATGATTCTCAAACCGAAACAATCATCATATACAGGAGTCAAGTTTACTGTGTGAGTAACAGGTTCACCTTTAAAGTGATATTAAAGTGAAGTGATAACTTCATCAACAGTACATATAGGGTCCCAGCCGTAGCACTAGCCACCAAATATCTTTTTAGCTTTGCCTGATTTCTTGTTTCACACAACTCACTTTCTCTCTTCCAGCAGCCACTTGTTTGTACGGAGACCTACGGGTGAGTCCATCGACTGCAGCGGGGAGACGCAGCTCAAGGAAGAACATTTATGAACATTTCTTGATGGAAATGCAATCAGACAGAGACGCTAAGGCAGAAGAACTACTGTGTCTGCAGTGCTGATGATTATTACTTCAAGGAAATGATAAAGTAATGATCATAAATGTTCTTCCTTGAGCTACGTCCCCCTGCTGCAGTCGATGGACTCACCCGTAGGTCTCCGTACAAACAAGCAGCTGCTGGAAGAGAGATCGTCAGTTGTGTTTAGTCTCTTTGCTAAAGAAATCAGGCAAAGTTAAAAAGATGTTTGGTGGCTAGTACTATGGCTGGGACCCTATATGTACTGTTGATGAAATTAGGTGCTGTTCTGAGTATTATTTGTGGCTATAGAGTGGTGTTTTGGTTGAGGGCGTGGCTCCCTGTATTGCTATCTGCCGACGTTACTAAAGGTGGTATAATTAGAGAAGCAAGCGGTCGGCAACATTCATCTCTCAAGAGGGTGTCCAACTCGGTGTTACAGTGTGTCTGACCCTAAATTAATTTTACACTGCAATATCCCTTTAAGTGCCAGAGTCATTTAACTTCCAGCCAATCAGATAGTGATACTTATTGTTAAATTTTATTCAACATTTGATACAGATAATCAGCCAAATATGAGCCTGAGAATCAGGAAAGGAATCCAAACCAAAAAGTGGAGGTTTTTCTGAAGTTTGAAAGACTTTTCAGAATTATTCAAACACGTTCAGAGACTGTTTTTCTGATTTTCATTAGCTTTAATCCAAAAAATCAACAGAAGTCAAACAAAAATAGACTTTGTGTGACTGTCCAGGTCATGGTTATTCAATTCTGCGTTTAAAGGGCAGCTGGACTCCTTTTAGGGTCTTTAAAAACCTCAAACCAGTCCAGTGTCACTAGATAATACATGAAAGTTTAATTATATTCATTTTTTTAACTTTGCCTGTGAAAGCTGTGAACATAAACAGCAGTTAAAAGTTTGTAAAAGCATTAAAGAAACTAACCAGACTTTTTTAGTTTCTCTCAAATTTGGATAAAATCAACAGAACAAACACACAGTTATAAAAATGTATTAAAATGTCTTTATTCATACAAATACATGATGTCCATCATTACTACTGTATGGAGGAAGTAACACACATTCAGGTAATTCTGTGTAAAAATATAGCTTGTATAAAATCATCTGAGCAAACATATTCACTGTATGCATGTCTGAAGCTCAAAGTAAAGGAAAAACACACATTTCTAATTCTGTTTAAAAAGTTTTAAAAACAACTTTTTTCCTTGTTGTGGGCAAGTGTCCTTGCAGTGCTGTAAGCAGTACACCCTGTAATATTTCAGAAAGTTCACTGTGTGGTCCTTTGTTATAAAGTGCTGTCATGCAGTGAATTTTTAGATAAAGTTACAAACGGAGAGCTAAAAGTCATTTGCCTCTCCCCGTGGTCACTCCGAATGGCTCATGTTAACATGAGTTTGGTCGTGTTACTCGGTCTCAGAGCGCAGCTGTGGGTTACTGGGCGCTCAGCAGCGAGGGTTACCCATTCGACAGAAACACACAGTCCTGAAGAGCCGACACTGGCAGAAGGCACAGAAATCACAGCAGACGTTACTGGGAGATTTACAGCTTCCCCACAAGGGAATACAGTTTGCCGGAGGAGGAGGACGCTTCTTCACCCCAAATTTGTTCTAAGAAGAGAGAGAGATGGAGGAGGGAGTTATGTTGACTTTAAAGGGCGAGTTAGAGTCAGACAGAATCACAAAGATATGTATTTTAGTGCAGACGTAACAGGTACAAACTGACACCATTTCAAAACAGATCATCAGAGAACAACGGCAGCATAATTGGATTTAATTATTTCAAACTCCCACATTAAATACAGCAGTGATGGACTCAAATGGGGGCAAGGGGGTTGAACCACCCCACCCCCCTCAGGGCCTCATGTAAGAATAGAAAGTACCCTGTAGATGTGAGCTTGTAAATCCATTTGTGGTAAAAAAATAAAAATAAAAAAAATAAAAAACAGTCCTTTGTTAAAAAAAAAAAAAAAACTTTGAGGGACAGATCACATGGAAAAGAATCTCTTAAAAGTTAACAAACGGCTCTCTACATGCTTCTCTAGTGTGATGAATGTAAACAAAGTGCCCTCTACATGCTCCTCTGGTATAATGAATACAAACAAAGTGCCCTCTATATGCTTTGTCATGAAAAAAAGAAATTTCATCCATTTACCACGATTGCCGACTGGCGATCCTCAAGGGAACAAGATAGAGATCTGGGACCAAGACCAAACCACCCTATTTAATTTACTCCAAGCTCAGTGGTACCATTGGACTTAATAAGAAATTTGTCCTCTGGCTGCATTTCGGGAAGTTAAACTAGTGCCCTCTCATTTTGCTCTTAGAGTGAATCAAATGTTAACTAAGTTCCCTCGGGATGACCTCCCAGAGGGCTAGACCTGAACCTCTCCCTCATTTTTACAGAATACCGAGGAGCTTCAGGAAACTGAAGAGGGTAGAGGCAGCAGGTCTTTATAGATCACATCTCTGGAGCATTAGTACCTCACAGCAAATAGGGGGCACTCTTTCAGATGATCATTTCAACCCTCAAACATTCTGAGCACACCACTGACATGACTTCAGACACATCAGGGGTTCGTGTCATCATACCTTTCTTTGTTTCTTTGGCTTCTTGCTCTTCTTCGATGACTTGGGCAGCTCTGAAAAAAACACCACAGTATTCATGATGATAATTGATTGATTTTATTTTATCTTTTATCAAAGAACTGGTTCAATGCAGCTTTTTGACTTTTAAAGGACGTAAACACTCATTAAATCTGCTCTGTCCATTTATATCAGGATTCAACAGTTTTACTAACATAGAGTGTCAGCACACCAGAGTGAAGGCTCAGACTGTCTTTGCTGATACACCGCTAAGGTTTAAAACTAAAAACTTACCTACAATGAGAACAGGAGGCGACGGCGCCTCGATGCTCTGAGACAGAGCATTGGACACCACCACTCTGTTGCTGGAGAGTCTTTCCTCTGGGATCATGTGGGCTGAGCCAAAAAGGTACTCTGACACCGTCAGGATGAAGCAGCCAAGGAACAGGAGGGCATGCATTTTTCTCTGAAACAGAAACAAGTGAATCATTTAGGGGAAAAAGACAGAATCTCAAATCTGCTCTGGTTCAAAACAAATGAAATTAAGGTTGTAAATGTGAGTGCTATTAAAGCACAAACAGCTGCTTTAAAAAATATATACAAATACTGGGGAAGCAAATAAAGAAACACAAAAAAGCAGAAGAGAACTGCAAAGATCTAAGATCAACTACAAATCAAAACATTTTAACCAGATTATACAAAAATCAGGAATCTCTATTTCTTTTTGACCTATTAAAAAAATTATTTCCCCGACAGTGTGCACATAGAGAAATAATCTCCCCGGACCAAAACTGTCCTTGAAGGATGCTGTAAGTTTCTTTGTGCTCCTTTTCAAAATGGGTGTGTATGTGGGTTTGGTACTTTTAGGGCCAGCCTCTAGTGGACTCCTGAGGAACTGCTGTTTCTAGCTCCTGGGCTTCATTTCTCAGTTGCTGAGGGTGCTGCTAAACATTAAGTTCTTTGTCTGTTGTTACCATTAGCGCCCCACTCAAGCTTTCATTCGCAGGTTTAATCTTTTGATGTCGTTTTGTGTGTTTTTTGATGTTGTAGAAACGATAAATATGATTACTTCCTCAGTCATCATTGACCAAAATGCTGAATTTAAAGCTTTGAAATGTTGGTGTCTAACCTGAAAGCTGATGTCAAGGTGGTCCAGCACAGGGAATAGACCAAATGTTGGACACTTAATAATCCAAAAACACCTGTGAATTGGAGTTTTTTAAATAAATGATGATTTTTAGAAAATGCGTCCTTGAATTTGCACCAAAAATCAGTTAATTTTTCCACTCATAATAAATCAGAAATAAGCTGTGACTAACATAAATCCAATCAGATACACTAACTGGACCCTAAGGGGGAGTAAAACTCCCATAACACTGAAGAAATACCATGAAAAGAAAAAAAATAATAAAAAATAAACCTGGAACCACGTCCACACAGCTTTCCTTTAACGGTGTTAGCAGAGCTTCGGGGGCCTTTTTCCCCCAACCCCACCTCAGCTCAGGCCCTTTCTCAATAGAGAGGTCATCTAGTGTGCAGAGATCATGATTGAGCTCGTGTGTACAAGCCAATGCAGTGGTGCATTTTAACCAGACGGGCTGGGATCACAAGATATCTGGTTACTGGAGAAGTGCCCCAGTTTCACTTCTAGCTTTGCTGTCATGATGGGTGAGCCTGGTATAGGAAGACCTCAACAGCATCAAGTTGCAGAAATTGATCAAAGCACCGACATGAAGGGGTTGATAAAGACCATAAGACATCACACTGCAGTCGGTGCATTGAAAGAGAAACGTGGACATCTGTTTTCAAATGTTTTTGCAGCATCGGTTTTCAGTTATTAGTCCGTGTGCAAGACAAAAGAGTAAAGTGTGGTTTCTGACTGTTCACAGCATTTGTTGGATTCAGCTGACTAGGAGATGGTCAGAGTTTGACTCCAACTGAAGGTCAAAGTTTGCAGGTTTTAAAAGGACATGACCCTGTCCAAAAGCCACATTAAGTGTTAGTATATTTCACATCATTTTTAAATTGACAGAGTTTAAAGGGACACTTCAGTGTACCCATTAGAATCACAGTAACCTGGCAGCCACTTAAAACCAGCCCAGCTGTGTCTGGAGGGCGCTGTCTTTATCAGATTAGGTGCTTCTTTGTTTGATTACAGCGAAGGAAGGAGTCTGACAGCTGAAGAGACAAACACATGGCATCACTTTCGACTACTGTCTCTGATTAATTAGCTCTTTAGCTGTTTAAATAGCTTCACCCAGTCTGACACTATCATGGATTTTAATCGAAGTTCACACCAGATAAAACAGGAATCATCAGAGAAATAAACCAGTTAGCTACTCTAAGTCCATCCAACACATTTAACATGAGTCACAAAACAATCAGAGAAAGTCCAGGTCCAGGTCTCATATTGAAGCTGGTCTGACCACACTGTGACAAAAACCTCTGACTCACCAGAGAACGGTCTGCTCAAATAAACAGACTCAGACATCAGGAACCCTGAAAGCTTTAGGAGATCTGAGAAGGAAAAAGGTCAGAGGGACACGAGTACCTGAAATAAGTCTGCATTAAAATTCATCCTGGTGGAAGTTGGAAACCAAGATCACATCAGCAGCAGGTATGCTGAATTAATCATTAAACGGACCAGCCAATGCAAGAATAATAAGACAGGAGAGGAGAGGAGGGAGAGCATCAGCAAAGAGGTTTACAGAGGAAACAGGAAGAGTAGGCAGGTTGGAGAACAATCATTTAGATATCAGATTTCTGCCTGTTGATGCTTAGAAGGTGATCAGCTGAGCCGTCAGCTGATGTATTTCGGGTCAATCTCATATTGTTCCCTGATTGAACTAGCTCTATGTTTGATTTAGTCATGGCTCAAGACTGTAAAAATGGGCACTGAGTGTGTTTACTGAATTTAACGATGAGAGATTCAGAGCTTCCTCTGCTGGCTGGTTGGAGTATAAGTCATAAAGCCTGCCTCTCTTGTTAACAGATGAAACACTTGAAAGAAAAAATGTTGAATTAATGTTTTTGCTATAATAGTTGGTTCTTATTATTTTAGTTTATGTCCAAGTGTTAATTTTTCTAACAAGTTTGCTTTTTCAATCAGTAACATGAAGTTGAATAAATGACTAACTGACAAATGATGATCTCGTTCCACAGAGGAGAAGAGGGAAAAGTGAAGAAAAGCACAAAAACCTGCAAGATTCATCTCCAAATTCATATTGAATTTCCCTTTGGGAATAAATAAAGTAATTGTTATTCCTATTCCAACAGAAGGGCGCCAAGCTACATGTTATTCTGAATCCCCATCAGCCATTTAAATCTGCCAATTCTGGTACACTTGTAGATGTCCAGTAGATGGCAGTGTATTAGGTAAATGTGAAACCACCCCAAAACAGCTGTTGCATTTGAAAAGCTGACCACAATAAGTGAAAAAGGTTAAAGGCTTTCAAATTCAATCTGTCAGTGTTTGAACATTTCAATAAGTCAGTCTGTCAGAGCAGCTTCATGAAAAACATCACTGAGTTTTCTATCCAGGTCATCCTTCACATTAAAGCGTAATCCAGGTATATTATATTTCATCATGTCAGGATTTCAGACCAGTGCTGAGAGGGAGCTGGACACAGTTCAGAAACCAAAAAACATCAACAGCAAGGACTTTCATTAAAAGTCATTTGGTAAAGTCCACCATGTCCCTGGCTTTAAGGCTCAAACCCTGGCTCTGCAGGACACACATGTCTGCAGGTAACTACAGGGAGCTGCTGCAGATGGAGAGTTCAGTTCTGATTCAGGACCAGCGTATTTGGATCACCCCGAGGTGAGAAGTATGTTAGGAGTGATTTTATTTCCCTGACCCAGTCTGGAGAAAGTCCTGGCTGCACCGGTTCACAGTGGTAAATGTGTTAATTATTCATAACCAGAAATCCTGGTGTGTGGGGGAAACTATGAGGTCAGCCGGAGCCGCTCAATGTGGAAACAACAGCCAGAGCTGAGCTGACTAGATGGAAACAGAATAAACAAGGTTGCCACAGAGACCAGGATAAACTTAAAGCTAAAAGAAGGATGATGGATGTCAGAGATGGAGGACCAACAGGCTAGACAGAAACCGCTACCACAACATATTCAGACGCTTAATGACCCAGAATTCACTGCTGCTGCTACATGCTTGAGAGTAGGCAAACAAGGTGTATCTTTTTTTTATCAGTTTAAAAAAAGATATTAAAAATGTCTCTGCAAACTATGAGGGCCTCTTCTTCTAAGACTAGACCCTGACAGGTGGATTAACACCACATCACATACCAGCCTGTGTTATACCTCAACCTAATACACATTCCTTTGAAACAAGTCCTGCTTAAGTCTGATAAGAAAAGGCTTAAGTGTGACCACTGACATGGTCCATCAGTTCACTGACCTTTGCATTATTAAGTGGTCCCACCTGTGATCCATCAGCCGTCTGGTCAGAGGACAAAGCTCTCAGTAAAATGCCGTTTTAGATCATTTCGGTTATGACTCTTTGCTTCCTGGTTAATTATGAGAGCTCTTTTCAAACTGACCACTTGGCCAACATGATGAGATATTTCATGTGTGAAGTGGTTTATTTAGACAATTGTGAGAAAAAGGAAAGCCTGCACATCAAAAGCAGCTCTGGCTGTGAATGAGCTGCATATGTATGTATGTGTCGGGGAAGTGTCTTTATGAGTAAAATTGTCACGTGTGTCTTTAAATGTTGTAATTTAGCCTTTTTGTGCTGGAAAGGACATGATGTCTTCTTCACCATCGTATTTATCATACTTGCTATCTGCGGTCGTTACTAAAGTTGGTATAACTAGAGAAACAAGTGGTTGGCAACATTCATCTCTCGACAGGGTGTCTAACCCTGTGTTACGGTGTGTTTGACACTAACTTAATTTTAAGACGGAATATCCCTTTAACTCTTTCATGGCCCCTGCGTGTGTCCGACCAAAACAGCCTTTATACGCATGCTCTGTACTCTTCTTCTGCCTTTTTTGCATTTCCTCTGCAGTGTTACAGAGCCACTTACTGGCTTGGCACATGCACTAGAAAAATCAAGAAAAAAAAATGGATTTTATTTTTGGCCCAAACTGTGCAGCCCTAGGTTGGTTCTGATCAATAAAGGGTAGAGATGGTCAGGACTGCTGCTGAATATTGAAGTGAATGTAGGAAGTAAAATGCGTCTCATCTGGACATTTTCAGGGTTTGCTGTCGTCAGTGTGGGGTTCAAGGAGGAGGGGCAAAAAACAGATATGGGGGGACTCAAACTAATAACATAGAGTTTGCACAGGAGTATGAATCAGGCAGAAGCTCAGCTGCATGATGCATGTAGGAAAGCATTTCACAGACTCCTCAGGATCAGTGAATCCCTCTGTGATGTGTAAGAAACTCTGCAGGACGAAGTTTTTTATCATCTCTGTTTTTAACAGTCTGGCGCTTTTCTTT